AAAAAAGGATTCTGACATGCTTGCTGGTCACAGACTGTTCGCATTGTCCTTAAAGAGTGACCTCTGCTCTCATACAGTATGCTGCTGCATCACAGGTTGTAAAATGACACTTTCATCGGCCAAATGTTATTTATTTTACAAAGACTGATACCATGCAGCACCTCATGACATCTGCAAGCCCTCATTTTATGAGTATTCAAGAGCAAGAGCTGCCAAACCTTTAACATTTAAATTGATCAGAATTAGGAATACATGTAAACAAAATGTTGATTCATTTTGCATTGACAAAAAGGGAGCACCTTGTTTTGGTAACAATAGAATATAGATTCATCTATCTATCTTATTTTGAAGGCACGTGTAAACATTACCATAGCAACCAGAGAGTGTTGCGGCCAGATAGGACGTTCCTCGTATCATGATTCGTGTTTATTATTATGTTTCCACACTTTTCATGCAGGTCATATCATATTATATTGTTGTATCTGTCCGGCCTTAAAGGCCGGTCCCTGAAAATATTGTCTGACATTAAACCGGTCCGTGAGGCAAAAAAGGTTGGGGACCCCTGGTGTACAGCACAGGTCGAAGGTTTGGGGTCCAAATCTTGTTTCAGGGTTTCCTGTGTGAAGTCCTGCAGTGCGGTTTCCGTGGGCTTTGTTTCTGACCACGTGCTTCCTCCCACATTCCAAGAACTCACGTGTTAGGTTCATTGAAGACTTGACGATTAAAGTAATTACAGGTGTCAATGTGAGTGTGTGAATCTTTGTCTTTTGTCTGATTTAGTCCAAGGGGAAGTCAACTGAAAAAGCCTCCAGCTCACCGGTGACCCTAATCAAGACAAGTGGTGTCCAAAATGGATGGCCTTGACGTTTATCATACAGTAATATCCAGATATATATATCTTGATGGGTTAACGAGGCACAGGTGCACCTACTGGAGGGAACCGCCCTTCACTCCAGCTGGAGCTGGGACACAATCAAGACAGACATGATATATATATGTT